CAATAAACAGAAAACAAGTAGTTTGTAAATACGAAAATAGTGGACTAAAAATAGTTGATGCCGGACAATTTTATAGAGAGAAATTTAAAAATGCTCCAATTGTGCGTCTTAGGTCCAGAAACCCCTGAAAAGTTTCCCTAGTCAGTGTCATATGAATCTGTCTATGCGTTACAATGAATATTTGCCTTGTCCAATCAGAAAACAGTATTTTAATGACGTCAGAGAAATTTGAAAATGCTCCAATTGTGTTTTTTAGGTCCAGAAACCCCTTATAAGTTCCACTAATCAGTGTAATATGAATCTGTCTATGCGTTACAATGCATATTTGCCTTGTCCAATCAGAAAACAGTATTTTGATGACGTCACACGGATTTGAAAATACTCCCATCGAATTCTATGGGTCTGAAAACCCCTTAGATATTTAAACCAGGAACTTCATTAACCTTCTTCAATGAGAAATTAATTTTGGCACACTTTGAGGCGGTTCTGGCCCACTGTGCGCCGTCAGCAGTGGTTATAGGCCTACTGCGCCGCTAGTAGCGGTACGTGTGCACGCTGCCGCGCCATGTCTGCTGGAGCTGGAGGCGATCGCGCAAGGGCAGAAACATGGTCAGTTTTTCGTTGTCAGCAAATAATGAACCTCGACCAGTAAATCAATATTAGGGACTTTTAGATTTGCACGTTGAGAACGTGGACTGCAACGTGTGACCTCCTTTTAAGGCACTGCCAGTGCTTAAAAGGACGTCACATGTGACTGCCAGTGCCTTAAAAGGAAGTAACACGTCCACACAAATCTAAAAGTCCCCATTGAGAAGAAGAGGAAGATGAAGAGAACAAGATGTCGTGGAATGATATGATAACAATGGCAGATCTACGGGGGGGGTGGGGGTTTAACCCCCTCCTCCCACCCCCCACCCCCCCCCCCCCCCCCCGGCCCCCTTGGGCTGCGGGGGGAGGGGGATGCTGGAGAGGAGGACTACTAATCTATTTTATTATAGGGGCGGGGGGAAGTGAAGCAGATAACCCTAAGTTTTTGGTTGCTGCTTTATATGTAGTTGATAATGTATGATTAAAATAAAGAGAGAGAGAGAGAGAGAGCCACCATCATTTTGCAATGGTTCAGGGTTCGTGTAATGTACATTTGAAACCATTTCTTAGCGTCTCAACCCTAAAAAAATAACAAAACTATTTTTGAGGAAAAGCATTGTACTGAATTAAATATAGAATAATAGCTTTATATTGGATCATACTAATACTGATACGGGCTAAAGACAATGTGGTATTTGTATAGAGGTATTCCAAAATGACATTCTGATAATCAACATTTGTTCTGGTATTATGTATATACGCATAATACAACTGATCTTTATGATTTCTTAACGTGACATAGCTTCTTCTCCCTCTGCAAATAAAAGGATCATGCGACAAATAATCATTGTGATTCAAATCGATGCGAGGATTTTTTTTTTGAATAAGCAATGCTTTTCACCAGAATCTTCTTTGTAAAAACGACTTTTACAAATCTCAGCAATGCAAATCTGCCACTGTGTTGTAAGATCTCTTTCAGATTAGGAGAAGTGTATTCTTTAATGAGTATTTTACATTAAATGGAACGTCTCAACTCAGTAAGCATGGCTGAGATTTGTAAAAGTTGTTTTTACAAAGAAGATTCGGGTGAATAGCAGTGCTTATTCAAACAAATATTCGCATAAATTTGAATCACAATCATTATTTGTCGCTTAATCCCTTTTAATGACCTTGTTTTCTTTCTCGTTTGCAAGAGGACAACAAGATATGTCACGTTAAAGACATCATAAAGATCAGTGTTGTATGCGTATATATTGTATACACAAGCCAGTAACAGCTATGTAGCTTGTAAATTTTTAAGAGGGAAAATGCTGATTGAAATGATAATGATGAAATAGCAAATAATTGAGGAGTATCATAGGTACCAATTCAATGGATATTTGTATAAAAAAAGAGCTCCCGTCAGTACTAAAAGAGCCCCCGTGAGAAGGCTCACGGGGGCTCTTTTTTTTAGGGGAAGAGCCCCCGTGGACAAAAAATTAATTTGAGCCCTGCACACAACACTTACGGAACTTGCCCACTTCCCCCCCCCCCCCCCCGATATCACGACACGAGATATCACAAGTTGCCAACTTGTTTTACCTCTTTAAAACTAACAAGACTTTTAAACTTTGTCGTTATTGCTTTGCTCTTTTTATGGGGGTGTCTTTTGTTGGTAGTTGTTTTGATAGTTTTTTTCCGTCATTAACCGGGAGGTCGAAACCAAGTCGATGCGCTCGTGCCCTTTGGTAAGGTATTAATCCTCTTTACTAAGTCCCTCGGAGAAGACTAAAAGTCGTCGGTCTCCTGTTGCTTACTTACAAGCATGCACATGCTTTCTTTGCAATCAGGTAAAACAAACATACAAACATACAAACAGTCATATATATATTCAATCTTTTGTCAATCTCCGGGGCTGTCGGTCTTTTGGCCTTTTTGAAACATTGGTCTCGTGTGTGTCGGTTTCGTGGGTTGTCGGTCCTTGGGCTTTCGGTCTTATGGAACGACCCCAATAGAATTCAATAAAAATGAATGGAATAAAATGAAAAAATCTACATTTGCCAAACTTGCCCCAGGTGAGGTAAATTGGTACCTCGCAGGAAGTAATTCCTTGAAATTCTCCAACTAATAATGGCGGCCATACTAAAGCCGAGGTAATAATTGTGGAGCGCAAGGAGTGACAAATCTGACAGACATGAGAGCTTTACAAGAACCTACTATTATTATTACTATTATTATCATTATTATTATTATCATTATATTATCAATAGTACTAGTAGTAGTACTAGTAGTAGTAGTAGTAGTAGTAGTAGTAGTAGTAGTAGTAGTAGTAGTAGTAGTAGAAGTAGTAGCAGAAGTAGTATTAGTAGCAGTAGAAGAAGAAGAAGAAGTAGTAGTAGTAGTAGTAGTAGTAGTAGTAAAAGTAGAAGTAGTAGCAGTAGAAGTAGAAGTAGTAGTAGTAGTAGTAGTAGTAATAGTAGTAGTAATAGTAGTAGTAGAAGTAGTAGCAGAAGTAGTATTAGTAGCAGTAGAAGAAGAAGAAGAAGTAGTAGTAGTAGTAGTAGTAGTAGTAGTAGTAGTAGTAGTAAAAGTAGAAGTAGTAGCAGTAGAAGTAGAAGTAGTAGTAGTAGTAGTAGTAGTAATAGTAGTAGTAATAGTAGTAGTAGTAGTAGTAGTAGTAGTAGTAATAGTAGTAGTAGTAGTAGTAATAGTAGTAGTGGTAGTACGTAGTAGTAGTAGTAGTAGTAGTAGTAGTAGTAGTAGTAGTAGTAGTAGTAGTAGTAGTAGTAGTAATAGTAGTAGTAGTAGTAGTAGTAGTAGTAGTAGTAGTAGTAGTAGTACACTGTTAGAACGGTGTTTAAAATATCACTGTTTAAAAGAATGTTGTTTAAAAAAGTAAACAACGTTGTTCAAAATCGAAAAATCAGTGCTCGATTGACTTAAACAACTATGTATTAAAAGACAAAAATATTTAATTAAACAGAGTTGTTTAAAAAGTCCCGGGGGCGTCGTTGATATTTTCTCAATACGCGATTGCAATTTGCGCACACACATGCGATATGCACAAAGTACGTACATAATACATGCATGCAAGCATGCAGTGCTAGCGTGCAGTGCAAGTGCATACGAAAATGGCGGAACAAGGGCAAGGCAACGACTTGGTTCTTCTCGGCTTCGCCGATGGGGTTTAGGTGAAGTTATAGAGACAAATTATAATGTTGTCTGTCACTGCCATGAATATGATGAACACATGTTGAAGTAAATTGGCAACAAGCTCTGCATGTTACAGTGTATAAATCGTTGTGATTATTGCAGGAGTGGTTCCAGTAGGTCATTTCACAAATTCAAACAACCAGATAATAACCATTAAATAGTTCTGTTTAAAATTTAAGCAACTCCTTTTAAACAACCCAGTTGTGCAGTAATACTGAATAAACAACAGTTGCTTAGTAATTTAAACATTATTGTTTAAAATTTAAACAACTTGCTTTAAACAACCGAGTTGTGCAATTTTATTACTAAACAACTGTTGTTTAAAAGGTTTCCTAATTTTTAAACAACTAAGTGTTCAAAATGTAAACAACCTTAATTTGTTTAATTTTTAAACAACGTTGAGCGATTCACCGGTTAACTCGGGGTTGTTTAAAATTTTAAACAACTTGTTTAATTTTTTTCTAACAGTGTAGTAGTAGTAGTAGTAGTAGTAGTAGTAGTAGTAGTAGTAGTTTAGATAGATAGATAGATAGTTTATTGGTTTCCACAATATCTCATTTTACAAAGAGTGTAACAACATATTTAAAATTATTACGTGTACATACAATACCGGTACACACTATTCAGAATATTGTCCATTAAGTTTAACTTAAGAGATACAGTGGCGGAGCCTATGGAAAAGCAGAGCTTGTTGTGGATAGGCTCCTTAAACTAAACATGACATAATTAACTAAAGTAAAGTTTATAAAATACAAATACACGCTAAAACAGGGAAAGGGAGATTACAGGGATACATGAACCGATACTCACAGTTAACTACAAAAGACAAGGAAAAGGGAAGGGAATATATCTGCAGCTTATTGAAATAATATTACAATATAGTTTGTTCTCCATATGAGTATATTATAAACATAGTTGGTATGGTCATACCGTTTATAGTTACTCATTGTAATGAACATAAGTATACAGTTTGGAGACAAGAATAGTCAAGAATCAGGAATGACAATATGTATTCAAATAATAACTTTTCAATTTTCTTCTGAATACAGTCATGTACACTTACAGACCTTTTAATCACAGAATCGAGAGAATTCCAGAACTTAGGACCTGTATATATTAAGGTATTTTGAGCATAGCTTGTTCTCGTTCTAGGAAGGTGATAGGAAAACGCCATATATATAGTAGTAGTAGTAATAGTAGTAGGGAATACAACAAAAATCTTACATGATAGCCCCATTGCTCTTCCTCCTTATCTTAAAGCTGAATGGATCGGGTGCGTAGATAAACTCGTAGTCGAGATCGTCGGCAGGTTGGTCGGGGCCCTCGAAGTCGATCACCGGAACCTCGTATCTCTCATTGTCCATATCGGTGAGCTATGACATCATGCAAGGGTTGCAAACATGTAAAAAAAAATTGTAAATAAGCAAACTTCATTTAAGGAATTTAGTCTCTGTCCACTATTGAATAACATCATCCGAGACCGATTACAAAAAATTAAGTCAATGCTGTACATCAGAATAAATTGTGATATCGAGAACAAGGAGATATAATTGTAATATAACAATTACAGTTACAATAAAAATGACAACGGTTATTAAATGACAAGTAGGTCTTTAAAGACAGTTACAATATTGACATTATATTTACATTCATCAACAATTACAATTTCAAATTGAAACAACTTGACCTTTTTTTTTTCTTTCATTTTTGCCATAATGTGACCGCTACTTTGTTACTTTTTGCATATGAGTTATATTTTATGACTGCTCTTTAAATATGTTTATATTTTGTTTGTTCATATGTTTTTATTTTTATTGTTTGACTATAGCGAGGTGAGGAGCAGTGGTTGATTAATACAAATTCATTGTGAATATCAAGTCGATAGCTATGGCTAGTATTGATGTCGACAACTTCCGATTTTCAAAGCTCAGGATTTCGAGTTTTCAGAGAGCTGTTACTTCCCTAACAGACACGAAAATAGCATATAATTGAAATTACTGTTATCTATGGGTTATAAGCTTTCCGTTGATATTTATTTCATCTATTTCTTTTTTTTTTCATTTCCAAAAAGGGTCATTAATGTATCTTGCTTCGAATTTTTCACCAACCTTGAAACGGACGCGTTTGTCTGTCTGAAGCTCGACTTTGAACAAGAGCCTCACGACTGGTCTACCATAGCGGACTGGTGTAGCCCTTCGCTGGAGAACCGCTTCAAAGCCCAAACTGTTCCGGACAACAGCTGAAACCTAGAATATGGCGAATATAGTTTGGACTAGCGGGAACTGTACTTTTTTTTTAAGTATGAAGAATGCTATGGATCATGGCGGGTATTAAAGAAGAGCACTTTCATTATAAACATATTAATCACCATTACTTTTAATTAAAAAGATGTATATTCTTTCATTACCTTTCAGGATAGTCTGTAGATCTTCATCCACTGAAAGAAACATTTATGATCACTGTATCTAGTTGAATTCACGGCATTAAGCATTTTTAAGCTGGCCCTTAATCATTCTGGATTAGATTACACCACGTACGTCTATTATTATGTCAGAGAAAGAAAGAGAGGTAGAAAGAGAGAGAGAGAGAGAGAGAGAGAAGAAGGAAGAAAGACAGAGAGGGGAATGGAAGACAGAGACAGCTCGACAAACCATGCTCGAGATGTGACAGACAGACCCGCCCCCCCCCCCCCCCCCCCAACTCAGAGGTCGGAATGACCGCATGCGTGTTGCCAAAATGTCCGGTAAAGGGGTACTTTTCGTGCGATAAAGTCCGGCCCGAGAATTGTAAAAAAAGGGGTGTATTTGACTTTTCACCCGGAGATTTCTTTTAAAAGGGGGTGTTTTTCTTTTTTTTCTCTCATCTCTTTGGACTCCTGAGAAATTATTCCGAATTTAGGGGGGGGGGTACATTGAGCATTTTTCCTGATTTAGGGGGGTCTCCAAGGCAGGAAAAGCCCGCGAAAAGCCCGCGAAAGGGGGGGGGGGTTCGGAAATGTTGGCAGTCCTCAGATAGGGGTGCTTTCAAAAAGAGGGTACGAGCATATGCGTACCCTAAATAACACTGAGTGGGGGGGGGGGGGGAGACAGACACAGATTTCAGAGAAAGAAACAGATAATGATTGGATAGATAAGCAAAGAACGATGAGACGGAAAGACGTCATAAGATAAAGATATAATTGAGGGATTGATTGATTGATTTTTATTCGACAAGCTTCCAACATACAACAATATACAATAATAACAAATCGAAAATAAGTCAGCTTGAACAGGATAACCCACGAAAGCTCGAGAGCTTATTTCCAGTGGGGTCCCTAAGAATTCTCTCTTCCCCCTCTCCCTAGGGAGAGGAGGAAGAGAGTGAGAGAAGAAGAGAGAGGGGGAGATCAAGTGAAAGAGACAGTGAGACAAAACAAGAGAGAGAGAGAGAGAGAAAGAAAGAGTTGGAGGAGAAGGAAAAAAATGGAAAGAGTGATGATGCAGAGTAGCCTCACCATGGTGTACCCCGGTACGTCCACCTGCTTCGGGTAGTAGCACCACGGGGCACCCTCTACGTCGGTAAAGCTCCATCGACACCCTCGAGCCTCGCACGTCTCCTCGGTGGCTCCGGGATCGGGGTAACAATCAATCCTCTGCAAGGCCTCTTGAACGGGTTCTTCAGGCCCTTCTGTAGGCTCAGGTACGCCCGCCAAGTCATTTGGCGCCCTTCTACTGAGACCGAGACCGAGACCGAGCCCCAACCCGATGCCGATGAAGAGGATGGCCGCCAGCAAGAAGAGGATGACCTTGTTCCCGAACTCCATCTTGGTTTGTGTCGTGTTGTGTTGTTCCTCTACGCAGTGCAAAGCAGAGGAAAGATATAAGCCCAGTGCTGCCGAAGTTGGAAAATACAATGTAGTAGGACTTTGCTCCAACCAATCCTATATTTCTTGACCTTTTAATTGGACCAACGACACAGCATCGGTGAGAGGTAATAGGATTAGACGCATCCACCCCTGTAATAAAGCAATAAAGCAAATTTCTTTCTTGCTTTCTCTTTCTTTCTCTATCTCTCTCTCTCTCTATAATATATATTTATCTTTACCTCTATCTATATTTCTACCTTTCTCTTTCTCTCTCTCTCCCTCTCTCTCTCTATCTCTCTCTCTCTCTCTCTCTCTTTTAAATATAATGTATCCCTATCTCTTTCTCTATCTATATTTCTATCTCTCTCATTCCCTGTGTCGTAGGTCCAAAAGGCAAGTAGGTCCTACCCCTTCCCCCATCGAATGGTGCAAAAAGGAATAAGAGAGAAAAAATTAAAGGAATGGTGGAAAGGAAAGGAAACAAAAAGGAAGAAGATGAATAGCCCCAACCCCACGCCCTTCTTAAACAATGGCAGTCATCCAAATAGTAAGACTGGTGCCACCCCCCCCCCCCCCCCACTCCTCCCCCTCCCCCTCTCCATAACCGTTTCCCCTTTTCTCTTCTCCCGTAGTCTTTATTTCCCTTTATATATCTCCCTCTCTCTCTCTCTCTCTCTCTCTCTCTCTCTCTCTCTCTCTCTCCTTCTCTTACCCCCCTCTCTCTCTCTCTCTCTCTCCCCCTCCCTCTCTCTCTATCTCTCTCTCTTTCTCTCACACTCACTGTCTCTTTACGTGCCAATATTTATGTTCAAGTGTTATAAAATGGTCGTTTCTCCCTCCAATAATTCTTTTTTTAATGCGCAAATGTACCCTTTGTTCATGTAACAATAATGATCATCATCATGAATTTACAAAATACTGTTTTAATTCAGATCACGCGTCCTGCATGGTCATGCCTCTGACTGGCAATGGTTATCTCTTTGGAATCATTTTACGAGTGTTCAACATCATAAAAACATAAAATCTAGTGAAATTCCAATCAATTTGTTTTGGTCCTTGTCCTACTTCATCAAAGGTCTTGATCGTTTGATATGTTTATGGTATAACAAAAACGTTATTCTCACAATACACAGTTTAAACGAGTTATGGGCAAAGTCACATGTTAAAGGGAAACTACACACTAAGCGTATAATTTTAGTGATCCAATTTGCAAAAACATTTATTAATCTTTGAAAATAAAATGCAGCTAGCAAATGTCTCATCGTCATTCTTAAGCCGGATGCATTTAGTCTGTCCACCAAAATGTATTAAAGTCTCCATGTACTATTGAACAACTCTTTATTTTTGTTTTAGCGTTTAATTAAGAGCGTCTCGAAGTTCGTCTCAGATCATGTACCAAAATTATGTGGTACATTCACTATTATTCAGTGTTCTATTTACACATATTATGTCCAAGGAAATGTCTGATTTAATAGTTTTTCCAACCGGCTGTTGTAAGGCTGATAATAGTCTTTGAGTTTCTTCAGGACATTTTCCTGAATAGGCGGATGATTATTCTTTATGGATCTTTTGGAGCAACGTTTCGTTGGTACTCTCTGACAGAAAACTCCCCGATCATGGTCGAAATAAAAATAATACTTGGTGAAGAACTTGGAAATTCCGATGAAGTCTTCCACCTGTTGTAAAATGGACACAGGGTCCCTGCTGAATACACCTTCGTCAATGATGAGAAACTGCTTTCTTGGAAAGACATCAAACCATCGTCGAAGATGGCTCTCGTAGAGGGCGTTCTCAATTACTGCATTGTCCTCAAAGACATCCCCGTTTTGCTTGAGGACGGTCGCCTCGAAGGAAAGGCCGAGGAAAGGGTTGGCGGGATCACCTGGCTGTGGTGATATGTAGGTGAGGTATTCTGGACGTCTGCTGTGTTTCATGTACAGGTAAGACGACATGGCACGCTCAATTGGGTCCCGAATCATGACGATGAACTTCATATCAGGAAGCGCCTCATTGATCAAATGCGGTACCTCGTGGCTGAGGATGTAAGAAGGGGTGTACTCCATGGTGACCTGGTACTTGGAGGATATCGGCATGCGGTCGCGGTACCAATCTAGACTACGGTCGGGGAAGTGGTTCCAGTAATAGACGTCCTTTGGTTTGGTATGGACGATGTCTGGATGTATCCGAAGCAAGAACAAAAGAGCGGTTGTCCCGCACCTCTCCATCCCGATACCTATGACCTTGGGGATACGTCTTTTACAGTCTAGTCGGTGTTGAGTCACAGGGTTTTCCCTCCCGCATCTAGTGTTTAAACCGTTATGCGTTTCTATCGTCACCGCCTTTTCTGTTCGCAGTTCTATCGGCACAGTGGGTTCTACCACCGAATTGTCCACCACACGCACATATGCCTCAGTCGTAGTTACACCATTGGCGAGTCGTTCTTTCGCAGGAGTGGCTTCTGCGACCTTGACTGTTGTCGGATTGGAATCATCCATCACTTGCCTTGATCTTGTAGTCATGTTTGAGGTGTATTCCAGCCACTCTTTCACCAAAGTGGTATTCTTTTCAATGACCGCTGCCAATAGCAGTGCCTCGCTAACCATATCATCTGTTCTATTGGTTGCATTAGCATCACCACGTTCTTCTTTCACAGCAGTTGTATCTTGATAATCTATCACTGACCGCCCTTCCCCTATGGAACTCACTGCTCCCGTACTGTCATCTGTGACATCATCAAGACCTTCTTCTAGCCATTCGGTTTCCTCGACATCATCCATAAACATAGACTCGCTGTTCAACTCAGAAGAAGTCCCTTCGTTCTTATCACCCCCATCATCATCTATTGTGGTCATGAACAACGACGTTCTGGCTGCCTCCTGGATATGGATGTTGCTCCCACCATATCCACAAGAAAGTGTCGTCCTTCCAATCGCCAAGAAGACCGCAGCCACACTGCCATAGGCGCAGAGTACACCTAGAGCAAAGGCTTTGCTGCATACCAGTTTCCTGATACCCCGCATGTTGTTAAATGGTTGTGATCTGGATGAGTTTCAGACAGAAAATGAGACAAAAAAGAAAATAGTGGTAATAAAAAAATAATTAGATCCATATAAATGGGTACCTGGTAGGAATTTATTCTTTGAAATGCTAGAGCGCCGTATGGTAGCCGTGCTAAAGCCAGGGTAATAATCGGGAGCGCCAGGAGGGTCAAATCTGACTGACATGAGCGCTATACAAGAACCCACTATCATTTATTATTATTATTATTATAAACACAATAAATTTCTCATTTTCAAATGACATTTGCCAAAGCATGACTATACCGTAATATAGAAGTCTGTCTATCTGTCAATTATATACATGGGTATTATTCATAATCATTATCTATATTAATGGTTATATTAACAAAAATATATACAACACGATAGATGTGATTGCTGTTATTTGGTATACAGCCGACTGTAATTCAACGTCATGAAAGAATATATATATTATAACCAGTTTACATCAAAATATACAGATGGCACGGGATACATTATGTATCTCCATTTTGATCTGTTCCTCGAAACACAATGCAAATGTACATACAACGAGTTAAGTATAAAATATGTAAATGTAAATTCATGCATTTGTGCATAATCTATGTAAGAATTAAGATCCTCATTCCTTCAGAAGATCATGAATTACATCAAAAGAGCATTATGGTTGTCCACTAGCAATTAATGTATGCGATTCGTATTCTGACTATAAGGGAGTTTACAGATACAATCTGCGCATGGGCAGATAAAGGTCATTTTGTACCCAACAGGTAAAAACCCACAGAGATGAATACTGGATATGCGCTCATGAAAGTTATGTAACATTATTCATTTATGCACCAACGGTACATTCTGTTATAAGCAGGTGGAAGTATTCTTTTCAAGAGGGCAAACAAAAGGTATTCATGAAGCACACCTAGGACTTTGGCAGTTATTATTCTACTATGCTCAAAGTGGAACTTCTCCATGTGTAAAAGATCTGTTGATATTTGGGGTCATTTGTACCATCTGCTATCTTTAAACTCCCTTATTGAAATACAATTGCTCGTAACATTCAAGTTTTAACTTTCAAGTTTATTTGTCTCACGTTTCACAAAACAGAATTCACAAAAATGAAGAAATTAGAACATAAAATGAAATGTACCCCGGCAAAGTATGACATTATATAATCAAGTCTTTGTAAAGACGTCTAAAAAATTAATGATTGTATCAAATGGTAGGTTATACACAGATAAAATGTGAGGAAGCTATCAAAAACAAGTGAATTAAACAAAGATTTGTGCATTAATTTTGGCCTATTGGTGATGGACAACGCTATTGAAATCGCCGTAGGTTGATTTTCAAACATCTATCTACGCGATCGTCTTAATTTCATTCCTATATAGGTCTGTTGCATGCCGCTTTTGGGGGGAACTACGTAAAGATTTGTCATGATAAGTCATGCAGCTCAAAACAAATAAAAATCTATTATAATGATCTTACCATTTAAATAGAGCTGGTACAAATTGATGACGTGGAATAGGCCAACCCAAGACAAATTGCTAACTTCATGCTCTCTTTTCACTGATCGTCAGTGCTGGTGGTATGTATACTTTCGATTTTTTAGTGTAAGGGGTGTTTGTGTACAGTTGTGTGGGTTCTTCAAAGCTCTTTCGAGACTGCTGAATACCAGTGAAAGGGGAATGTTTACCTAACTCATTCTTGCGTGGGTCGTATTATCTCTTCCCATTATTCTATCTTGCGTGTTTTTCCTTTGACGAGATCCGACTTCATGGACAAGAACAGCAAAGGGACCGATCCGACCATTATGCATGCTCTGCCTATAACATGCAATTTGCATTCTGACTATAAGCGAGTTCGTAATTTGGATTTGTGCCTGGGCAGATATATAGGTCATTCGTACCCAAATTGTAAAACCATTGAGACGAATACTCGGATCGTGCTCATGAAAGTTATGCAATCAGTATTCATTTATGCACCAACAGTACATTTATCTGATACACAGGTGGAAGTATTCTTCTCAAGAGGCAAACAAGAGGTATTCATGAAGCACCTCCATCACTTTGGCAATGGTTATTCTAAAATGCACAGGTGGGAAGTATCCATCGTGTCTAAGATCTGTGGATATTTTGGGGTCATGCGGTTCAGAGCACAATTTCTTTTTTTTACGAACTCGCTTACCGGTATTGAAAAACAATCATTAGGGACTTTTAGATTTGCGTGGACTGATACGTGTGACGTCCATTCAAGGCAGTGTATTAAAAGGACGTCGATCGTAGCAATCCACATTGTCGTTGTGCAAATCTAAATGTCCCTATTCGTACCATGTGAATGAAATAATGCGTATCGAAGCTCTTAGGCATAGATTTGTTACCTTATAAACACGGTCAATAGACCGGTTTACAAATATATTTAAATTTATTATATGATGTTTCTTTCCTCGGGACCTATATAGTGACGAGTTATTATATTAACCTGTTGGCACAGAATGAACTACAATACTCGGAATCCAGACTACATATGCATATGTATTTGTATGACTTGTTGTTATGTCCGGAAATTGAGCACAAAATTTTGTTTGGCCCTCGAAAATTTGAAAAATCGCCAGGGGAGGGGGCCCATCTCCAGAAAAGGGTAAAATTAACGTGTTTTTACCTGTTTTCCCCAGGGGAGGGGACCCGGGCCCCCTAGATCCGCCACTGCCTACCCCCGCCCCCCCCCCCCCCCCCGGCCGCGTTATTTTTTTATGCGGCACAGATTGGGGCTTTTTTTAAAAAGGGGTCTTGATTTACAGACTAATAGTGGTCGTGTGCGTACTAGTTGTAGAGGTCTGTTTTTAATAGCGTTACATGTAATCCACTACCGTATGGAAAATCATTACATCAACCAGGGCTTGTAATAAAGTCTCACCTCCCTGCATCAACAATTAAAATGCAATTGAAAATCTGAAGAGGAGGCAGCACGTCAACAAGGAGAACATCACAATAATTAGTCAATAAAACTTAATTAACTTAAACGAAGAGGAATGTTATCTAAACACATAGTTCGCGATGGATATTCAAACTTCTTCGCAGCGCTAATGCGCTAGCGAACATGCCTAGTCTCACGTACGTGCAGACATTATTCAGAAGGGAAAGAACGTACTTCCCATAGGCTCAACACGTACCATGCCCCAATCTGTGCCGCATAAAAAAATAACGCCCCCCGGCCGGCCGGCCCCCTTGAGCCAAAAAAAGAAAGAAAAAAGTGTTACTTTTGTGGAGGGAGGTCAGGGGTGGGGTCCGTTTTTTTAATATAATTAAAAGTAACTTAACTTATCCATCTTTTTTTTCCTTTAAATTAAGTTTAAAAGGTCTATTGACACAGGGTTTGGTCTTACACAATGAATATTCTTGAGCTTCATGGATTTCGTAGTCTGCTAAAAATAACTACTAAAACATTGTCGATGTCGACACAGCTGAGGAAAACCAATGTCTATTTTTAGATCTTTTGACATTTTCAGTCATGAGTTTCTCGTATACGGTGGGTGCACGGTGGGAAATCCCTCACTCACACACAGCACAGTAAAGAAATCGGGGACAAGATCAACAGAAAGGAGCGTCATATCGGGCTGAAAATTCAACATTATCGTCAACGAAATCGCTGGGAACTGCTCGACCGGGAGGTAAGCGCAACCTAACGGAAGAACAGCCCGGTAGTAATCATAGGGCTGGAGCAAAATCTAGTCCACAGCTAGCATGTACATGCAGCAAGTACATCAATACAAAAACTCAACACATGTCAGGCTTTCAGACTTGAAGAATCAACAAAGAAGAAGCAAAGAAGAAGACACCCAATGTGAACAGAACTTCAAATACATTAATGGACCAGACGTTTATAGCATTAAAACTTCTTCAAGTCAAAGATCGCCAGGTCGAGGAAGAGGTTCCAGAGGCAGAGGTTCACCTAGAGGCGGCACGGCATGGCATACACCAACATATACACCCGCAGTAGCTTGTACTCGGCCAACCCGCCTCGTCAAGTTGGCCATAGACCTCCAGATGAAGAGGGAGAAGATACTCATCAAAAGCAGGGAGAACCTGGACCTTCGCAGCAGCCACAGGGTGAAAGGTTAGGGATACATTCTGTTGTAGCATGATTATACAGCTTAAGTCAGGGGCGGATCTAGGGGGGGTTCGGTGGTTTAACCCCCCCCCCCCCCCTGGGCGGCCAAGTGAGAAAAAAGAGGGAAAAAAGAAAGGGAAAAGGGGGAAAAGGAAAACGGCGCGATTTTTGGAAAATCCTGGATCCGCCACTGGGTCAAACCCCCCCCCCCCCCCCCTTGGCAAAAAGCTAGATCCGCCCCTGCTAGTCATACTCGTAGGAAATGTCCTATGGGTTTCTCCCCAAGCTATTTCGGGCTTCGTATATAACTCGTTAACATGTTTTGCTTGGCTCTTGAAGTATATCAAAATACTTAGCCAGTAGCCTATTATGTCACTCATAAAGACAATAGTAATTTTGAGAAATCTGTTCTTCAGACTCGGAGGTTATTAAATAACAATCTGTCCTACCGTAAATTAATAAAAGGGAAAGATGACATATATGCAAAAAGCCCATGCAGTTATCTTGGTTTTGTTCTTGTTTAATGTATGTTTGGTTTTTTATTTCTATGAGCTTTAAATCTTTCCTTACGTTTCCTCAGGAGAAACATTAGATTCGTTCATTTTCTTCGCCTAATGGAAAAGTCATAATTTCATTCTTATTATCAACAAATTGTTTTTTCATTCATAGCCCTGGAGCTTTAATAATTCAATTTCAACCAAATGCTATCACGGGCAAATTATTAACAGCTGTTAAATTGTAAGTCTGAATTATATCCAAATATTTTTTTCAAGAGGAGTTGAGTAGAGATAAAAGAGGATGGGAAAGAAAGATAGAACGGGGGAGAGTTTTTATATTTGTCAACCTTTTTTTCTTCATATCACATGTTTTTTTTTGTAGAACTAGTGCAGGATTTTTAAGAGGACTAGATGCACGAATGACACCTACACATAGTAAGTTACTATATTATACAAATAATACACATCAGTGAGGGCATTAGTATTTTTTACTGATGCCCGAACAAGATGATGTGTATTATTTGTTTTCTAAGATGATGTTTTATTTGTTTTATAAGATGATGTTTTATTTGTGTTATAAAATAATGTTTAATAACATGATTTTACTAATGACCGGTCATGAATATTGAATTACGTGTTTGGAAAAATAGATGCCTGGTCACTTGTACGCTCTCAACTAATTATTTGATTAGGGTCCGCTTTATCATCTTATATTGCCAGTTTTCTTATTTACATGTCAGTTTTCTTATTCCATTATTGTTATTATTGTTGTATTTTCTTTGTATCCTCGAATGTATTTATATATTGTTTATGTTGTTTATATTGTATGTCACTATGCAGTGAAGGACGAATTTCTGTATTTTTTAAATCAGACAATAAATTATTTTGAATCTTGAATCTTGAATCTAAACTACAACAATAATGGTAATAATAACACTATTTTTTTTTTTAATATATATATATATATATATATATATATAGCGCTTTACCATTAAAGAAAATTGTTTAACAAAGCCAAATCTGATATGCATGGCCCTACGTTTTATCAGCGTCTGTGATATGGTGTAATATTGAAGCCCTTAAAATATTGCGCTTCAAAATGATCATCAAGTGCCTTAAAAGAGTAAAAATTCTTTGAGTGACTGGTTTTACCATACTCATTTTCCTTATAGACTGTTGTGTTATAAAAAAGACCGTTGGGAAAACGGTTTTTGAAATTTCGAATTTCAATCATTTTCTACAACCTGCAAATCATACAATATAATTAAATAAAATAGCACTCTGTACTATCGAAACAAAAAACAAACTCAAAATCGTCCTATATCCCCTATCCCCTATCCATTTTGTGTAGGAAATACATTCTTTCCTGTGCTTTTCCCCGTTGTAACATAACACTTGTTCTGTCCACGACAATTTGTCATGTATGAATTAACCTAGTACATGTATAGGTAGGTATATTTTTCTATGTACATGTACCTGTTATTACTTTACTTATAACTATTTATGAGAGTAGTGATTGGTTAGGCCTTGACTTCACCAACTATTTACATAAAACATGTCCTTATTGAATAAACTGGATTCGAACTTTATGTAGACCAGATATACTCGGTCTATTGTTTGAAACTATTAACAGAAATACTTATCCAGAAGTTTGCAGCGTATTTCATTATATGCAATGGTCAAATATATATATAATGGTGCCTCTCCAACAGAACTAGAGCATGTATTGATACATTTTTGTGCACATTGATTTAGAATATGTCATATTCTGTGAGAAAAGTGTGTATACAATGTATATACAATATCTGTAATTTCAACCCCGAAACTTGTGTTATCGACACAATACTTAATGCTTTTTTCCCAGCTACAGTGTATATGTCTTCAGGCAAAGTAAAAATACAATATTGGCAGAACTGCTTACTTAATAACCTCCATATTTGCAAGCCCCAAACTTGACTATCAAATTTATTTTATAATATCAAGAAACACTATTCTATGGGTGTTACTTCATCAATCCAGAAATAATTGTTACTATTACAATTACTCATTAACATCACCACTATCATTATTGCTTTAACTATCAATTTTTAGAGTGTATATAAGAAAAGAGCTTGAAACTTCGTGTACTATCATTCTCAACTTAATTTGTCATTGAGCGGTCTTTTACGACTTAAGTTAGATTACTCATTTCCATTATTCAATTATCAATAAGATCATAAATAAAAGGATCAAGGAAATGTATACGCTAGTAAACAGTTTTGGCAGGTACACTCTAGTTTATTATTATTTCTGTCTTTCTTCTTAAATCTCAGAGTAAGATATTATGACGGAGAAACTCTTATTTAACTTACTTCAATTACTTTTTAAAAAAATCGAGTGTCTTTTCTTCCACAATTAATTGATATTTACCAAGTTGAAAGAACACCGGTATGAATATGGTAAAGAATAACAAAATTATAGCCTTAATTAATTAATTATAATTATATCTCACGTTCTTTTTCCTTATCCTTCATCTTTCCCCTCGCTCTGACCTTTTTTCTTCTTCATGCAATTGGGTAGCATGTGCACCCCCCCCCCCCCCCCGCCCCCGCCCCCGCCCCCGCCATAGCTACGCCACTGTGCAAATATATTTTTGATATTTAAAAAACGTTTAAATAAGAATAATTTTGAATGGTATATGCAGTTGGTCTTGCAAGTTTGGTAGTAAAATTGTCTTGTGTTGGGATGAAATGTCATAACGTTCAAATTCCCTTCTAGTATGTGGCATCGTATTCTCATTTTAAGAGTGTTCTTTTCCTTTCTTTATTTCCATTTTTTTTTCATGAGGTGAAAGTAAGTCTGAGGAGAAGGCTAGGCTGGCGCTAGCCAAGCAGCAGCGAACCAAGAAATATGAACTAATCGTAAGAAAATTCGATTTACATTCCTTGGTCTCAGTTTATATTTGATGTTATCGCTGTAATTTTGAGTGTAAGTATACAAGATTGCATTAACATAAGAGAGTAATAAACAATTATTATCAAGAGTTTCTTCTATTACCCTAAATATACACATCCCTCGTGCATCTGCTGAAGCCGCCAAGTCTAACCAGGCTACTATTACCCCTCCCTTCGTTAGTTAGTTTTCTGCTTGTTGATAGGTTTATAATAATGATAATAATAATTTTATTACATTTATCAAGCACTTATTACTATGTTCCGAAGCGCTTAACAAATGTAATGTTAAAGCAATATTATACATAATCAGGCGCGTACGCAGGGAGGGGGGGGGGGGTCGAACTTCCCCCTCAATTTTGTTATGTTTGTGTTTTGGAGGAACCCCCCCCCCCCCCCCCCCCCCCCCCACCACCACCAAAATAATCTGACAAAATCTTTGTCAACAGCTAGGTTCAGAGTGCAAAGATGCTATTGATCGTCAATGTGATTTTCAAATTTGTCAGACTTTAATCTGTTTACATGCAGTAATTAATTAACTTTTTCAACCATAGAGGTTTTAGTAATGTTCTATTTTTCCCCAAACAGGAGAAGAGAGCAAAACAGCGGAGAGAAAAGAAGGAGAGAGAAAATAAAGAGTTACAAGAAATGAAAGCTAAAGCTCGACAAACAGTAAGAATTATCAGTTGATCGGAGCTTGACAAGATTTGTTTTTCTATCAAATCCTTGGGCATAAATCATTTATTTGTAGTTTTTCACATTCAATGTATATAGTTTTATAGCTTATGTACAGTTTTGAGGTGCTAAAATGAAATAAGAAAGATATTTGTTAAATATAATTTGTATATGCTTGTTTTGTTCCTCTTGTAATGCTTGTATTAAAAAAATATATACATGTATATTATGTAAAAAAAAAAATTTAGCATTTTATCCATGATATCCGGTGAATTGTAGTGTAAATATATGCAAGGAATGCTAGAAAACAGCTAAACACTCCCCTAAGCTAGGACACTTCTACCAAATGGCTCCCACCACATGTCAGACAGTATGTGTGTAGAATGTAGAGTATGTACACTAGGTTTTACACGTTGTGTTGCTGTTGTTAGAATTGACATCCCAGGATGGGTATCTGCATTATTTTCTACTCCTCATTTGTTTGATAAATCACTTGAGGAAGAAAAAATACTATACAGAAGTTTAGTATTATCACTATCTTCCTATTTATCATCTGAAATCAAAGATACATATATAGGTATATTATTATTTATTTTTTTTACGAGGGGGGGGGGGTTACCAAAACTTTACTTGACCTTTAAATTTCGAAGATTGACATTTTGTTTCCAGACTGAAGAAAACGAACGAAGAAGAAAGGAGGAAGAAGTTAAAGCCTTAAGAGATAATGCATATGAACATGCCAGGTGAGTAACTCTCCCCCTCTTCTTCTTTGTGGAAAACAAATAGATGCTTCACGTTTTTGTTTTTAATACCTCACACATTGTTTGACACCAAGCAAAGAAAGTGTTGACAATTGGTTATTACATGCCTGGCGTGGAATATATTTGTGCTTTGTGGAACCAGTGACTCTATCCCAAAATCAAACCATATACAATGTGAACAGAACTTCAAATAAAATGATAGTCCAGAGATAACAAATTCTTTGTGTAGGTTTTGGTCATATTGGCACGTTTTTTAACTATATCATTTAGGGACATGTATATTCTGGAGTTCAAATATTCTAGCCGGAGAAAAGAGAAATTGCTTTAAATTCTGTGATTTCAATGCTTCCAAAGTGTACAGAGAAGCTAGATGAATTATATCAATCTTTACTTTTCTACGCTTCCCTCTTATGATCTTCTCATGTGATGGATAACAGCACATTACAAGATTTCATCATTTTTTATTTATTTTTTTAAATTTTGATAAATAATTTCATTGTTCTCCAATTTATTGGTATTGATACAATTAATAAGAAGCCGAAATCACAAATACTGAAGATGTCTTCTTCCGAAGCAGTTAGGGGATCAGCTAGCTAGGGTATTCAGTTCTATTTCGTTAGAATTTGAGGACATGTGTGTTTGTGAATTTTGTCTGTTTTTATTTTTTTTCTTCCACATTTCATTTTGTCTTTTGTAGAATTAATGAGGCATTTTTAAGAAGGCTAGAGGCAGGAAAGACACTTACACAGAGTAAGTTACTACAATAATAACAAGTCAACGCAAAGCATAGCATCCCCTCGCCGGGTACAAATGGCCAATATTTAGCAATGTTTGCATATTTAATGAACTATGACATTTGACCTACATACACCGAAATGAAACTTAGGCTGTATTTTGATAATATGTACCATCATATCAAATTCCGTTAAAATCCGTTAAACATTATTAAAGTTATCGAACGGAAATCACATTTTCGAATAATTAGCTTTTTTCTGCATATTTAATGAGCTTTGACCTTTGACCTAAATACTCCGAAATCAAGCTAAGGCTGTATTTTAATACCATGTACCATCGTATGAAATTGACTTAAAATCTGTCAAATATTACTAAAGTTATATCGAACGGAAACCACATCTTCATTGTTCAAAGTTTGCCATCAAGTATGTTTCTTTTTTCTTCTCTCGACAGAATAATGATTAGGGGTGCCCCCCTTCCATTTCAGCAGCGCTCTCGACCAGTGGCGAATCCACGTTTTCTCAGTGAGGGTGGTAATTAGGGCCCTGTTTCATAAAAACTTGTTATCAATAACAAGTTCTGATAACTGTTATAAGCTAATGGGTAGCAGATTTGCCATACAAATTTAGTAAAGAGAAATTTAATTGATAACAAGTTTAATGAAAAAGGATCCAGGTTTATGTGGGGAGCACATAGAAAGAAATAAAAACAAGATAGTCTCATGTTACACTTATATACCATTCTGTGAGATAGCGTAGCGATATAACGCAAAGTGCATTTAGTAATCTTGAGACAATTTTTATACAGTGTTATTAAGAATTGAATGAGAATTATATTATATACACATTTTACTACACTTTCTCACACAAAAAAAGCATTGTTGGGTGCCGAAAATATGCTGGGCATCCCCTTAGGTAATTTAAGCCGCTACCGTAATATGTAACAATGAGGACATCGCGAAGTTCAAATCATATAGGAAACGCCAGGAAGCCATCTCCAAACGACGGAAGCTCGCCGGTGAGCGGAAGTCCATCCAGGAAGATTTAGCAAAAGCAAATCAAGACCAGCTTGCACATGTAGGTTCCTCTGAGAAAGAAAAAGCAGCAAGGTCAAGAGATGGTCGTATTCTATAGTGACTGACAAAATCAACAACAAAGATAATTCAATATCCCCCAACTCTAAACTTAGAATGTTCACAGATTCAGTCCTCCTATCCGGAGTGTTGGCTCAGTCAGTAGAGCGTCCGCCTCACAACCGGGAGGTCGTGGGTTCGAACCCCGGCTGCGTCATACCAAAAGACGTTAAAAGATGGAGTTGTTGCTACCTTGTTGGCGTTCAACATTAAGGGATAGAGCAACGTCGATCTGGCGCTGCTCAGTGGCTGCCGGGCTCACGATCAATTGGGCAAAAAGAATTTCCGTTTCGGTTTAATAAAATTTGGAGTGGACTATTAGGCTAATATTATTATTATTATTATGTTCATGATTTAAGTAATTATAGACCAATCTCAGTTTTACAATTTTTTTCATTTTTTTTTTTATAGAACGAATTGTATATAATCGTTTGAATACATATGTATTGGATAATGCAATATCAAATTCCTGCCAAATGAATATGGATTTACCAAAAATGTATCAACTGAAATGGCTCTATAAATTGATTTTCATTGTTTTTTCTTAGATTTAAGCAAAGCCTTTGATTCTATATTTTGTTAGATAAATTGAATGACCATGGAATGAGAGGTGTTGCTTACACATGGTTTAAAAATTACTTGGAAAATTGACACCAAATAGTTGTGTATAACAATGTTTTATCCCCAACAATGCAAGTCACGTCTGGGCTCAATATTAGGTCCTCTTTTAGTTTCATTGCACATAACTGATTTAAATTAGTGTTCCAACATTTTGAATTTGTCCTTTTTGCTGATAACACCAATATCCTCTATTTTCATAAACATATTAGTATTTTGTGTCAATCTTTAAACAATAAATTGCTGCTTGTATCACATGGGTTTAATAGTAATAGATTGTCTTTGAATACATCTAAATCTAATTTTATATATTTTCATTATATGCAAATATTATTTCAGATGATTCGTTGAATGCATTAAATATAAAGATGAATAATGTTCCGATAAAACGAGTGCAATCAACTAACTTTTAAGGTGTAATTATTGACCAAAATTTAACTTAGAATGCTCATATACTTGCCATTTCATCAGTATATTACGTCATTTCTTACCAATATCTACAGTTTTTAAATGTTGATTTAACTGAAAACTATTGTATATCACTTATGGTTTTTGTTTAAAAAAACTGATAAACTGCCGACTAATCCTGCCACTATGAGTATGATGAAATGTAAAAAATCTGTTCATAATTATAATACTAGAAATCCTGATAATTATTTTATTGATAAATGTCCATCAGCAAATTCTTTATTTACTTTAAGACACACTGGCCCAATAATTTGGAATTCTCTCCCCAGAGACATCTGTGATTCTACTTTCCTTAACTCTTTTAAATGAAAAATTAAAAAATACTTCATCTGTTTGTTTAAATCAATAATATATGCATGCTAATACGTCTACTATGTTTTGTACACTGTTTTGTTATTGTTATAATTTTATTGGCAATTGTTGGAACTTGTATGTATCTTTTAATATCAAATAGGGACTGCCTCGACAGAACCTCCCGGTTTCATTTGCAGTTTCCCGAATTCATTTCTAATGATTAACTTTGTATAATTCTGGTATATTTGTAGACATGTTTCCATTTTTTGTTTGTTCTCTGTTTTCTATATTGTATACAATGTGTATCGTATACTTTCATTAAATGTGTGTTTTATAGATGGAATTGAAATAAAACTTGAAACTTGCAAACTTACTCGTTTGTGCCTACTCCCATCGTGTGACCATATAGGCTGTGTAGATTGTAATGGTCACCCGTGCCGTGTCGTGCATCCATATAGTCTTGGTAAAATATTTTACGTTCCTCGATCGTGATTTCTGCAAAACAAAATGTCATATTAATATCAGTGTTTCACTTAAACTTGCGGCGTGGATGGGAGGAATTCATCAAAAATTAGGAGCACAGGTGGATCAAGAGGGAGTCATGGGGTCCCGATAACCCTCCTTTGTTTTCTCTCTCCCATCGCACCTCTCTCTCTCTCTCTCTCTCTCTCTCCAGCTCGATCCCCCTCTCTTTCTCTCTCGCTTGTTAGAGATCTTTGGTGTACACCAATAACCAGTGGTATGTAATTTCCCCCAGCTCAGCACATGCTCACAAAATAATTGCATTCTTTCGTACAATACCTCCACATTACCTTTCTTTTCCTGGTGATATGCTACAGCACGTCTGACATAAGCCATGTTCAGACGGGGCTTCCTAGTTAAGCCCTAAATATCCCATAACTATTTGACTTGCACCATTAGTTGTCCATACCCTCTTACTCGGACAAACTTGCCACGATTAAGTAAACACGACCTTCCACCGACCCTGTCTTACTCGACGTAACTTCCAGAAGTCAGGAGCAGATCAAGGATTTTCCAACAGGGGGGGGGGGGGGGGGGGACGTGCAAAGCTTGGCACATTCTGAGGCATTTCTGAACGAGTAAACTGAACACATTTTATGTCAATTCTTTTGGGGCCTGCGCAGGCACGTAGCCAGAGTTCGATGTTTGAAGGGGGGGGGGGGGGGGCACATACATGTAATCGATCGAGGTAAAAAAAAAAGAGGTAAAAAAGTTTAACCGATCTTTGAAATTTAGGGGGGCATGTGCCCCCCCCCCCCCCCCCCCCTCGTGGCTACGTGCCTGGGCCTGCGCCCGGCCTACTCCCCCTGGATCCACCCCTGGAAGTGGTGACACCCACACTAGTCGACCTCTACCCACCTTCCGGATCTACACCGCGCGAAATCTCATTTTCATTTTTCGATTGTAAACAAACAATTACCCTCGTGAAAGGAGATACTCCGAGTGCCTAGTGAGAGCATTCACACCCTACCCTCTAGTCGTGTTAGCGCGTTGCTCCTGGATAAATCCAGGAGTAAATCAGTCGGCGTAAAGGTGGGCATATATAGCTAACACGACTAATTATATCGTTCAGACGATCACTACGTCGAACTTTACGCTGACCTTACCATATTTACCCCGACTAGCTCTAAACACGACCAAAATTGCCACGGTGTGAACACGGCTATAGAAACTCCTATGTTGGATGGTCAGCTCTGGTGAAGCTACCTACTACTGTCTCTTGTTAGCTCACTAATGATTGACAGATGATGTCACAAGATGAATGAGATCTGGAGCATTTTTTTAAGGGTGAAACTTAGCATGTCCGAGAAAATTATTTTAAGAAATATTTAAAAATCTATAAAATATATTTAGATGTTTGAATAACAAAATATGATTTGTATGCAACCCTGCACATCAACAGGAATCAACTTATATTTGGATGTCACCCGACCTTTAAAGCTTATCAACACTAGTGTGGCTAGGAGGGATTAGAACACACAGCGAGGTCACTGACAGGTGGCTATCTCATCAACTCAGCTCTCAAATAACATAAGAAATAGAGGATCATGGGGGACCAACAGGCACCGATTAGGGAAGTTTTCTATATAGAGGGAGCAAGTAGCTACAAGTAGGACAGTGGGGCTTTAAGGCAATTTCAATTGAATTGTGCGTCACATAATGCAAGTGGAAATATTACAATGAAGTATTACGATATCCAAGCATGATTTCCGTGGGACATACAGAACTGCCCCTGAGTTGATTTCTCGAAAGTCTGTGCGATCGTGCTTTAAGTATACTGTCCCCAGGACCCCGTGTTATAAAGAGTTGCGATTGATCGAAACCAATCGCAAAGTTTGCGGTCTCCTATCTTTTATGTACATAAAATATATATATTTGGGATTTACATCTACTCTTTTTAAGACGGGGCCAGGCATACAAGTTGTATAAAGACTTTTTTTTTTTAATCTTTGATTGGTTATGATCGAGGAGCTCGGATTAAATGGTGATTAAGGGATAATTTAAACATTGATGACTGGTACATTCTACTTTCAACCAGTCAGCAATCCTGCATGAGGTCCGTCGGAATGACTTGAATTGAAATAAAAAAATTCATGTATTAATCACAATATTTACTTATTTTGTGATGTACATGCAATGATTAGAAAATGAATGAATGAATGACTGACTGCCAGGGCGGAAGGGCGACTTCCAGAGTGGAGAGGGACACCCAAAAAAAGGTCAATTTCTTGAAAAAGGGCACCTACAAAGGGAAATCTCAAGGCGAAAATATACATTTTTTTAAAGACATTGGAATTTCCCCCTATATTGTGGTTACATTATCAGGGTTGATTTTAATATTTGCTTCTCTTTATACATGCAAGATATTGCTTAATCATCATACTTTGCAGTTGGGTGTGATGGTCTGAATATTCATTTGCGAGCGAAAAGGAGAACGTGTCAAAATACAAAAGGTAATTATCAGAGGTGGAAATTGGGCACTTCTTACACCTGAAAAGAGGCACTCACCAGGGATTAAAAAGGGCACTTATGAGAATAGGATATGGGCATTTGTCGACGGAAAAGGGGCACCCATCAGATTTTGATAGAAGCATTTATGCAAAGGGGATATTAGGCTATTATTATTATTATTATTATTTATTATTATTATTATTAGAAAGGAAAAGGGGCTCGTATCATTGGGACACTATTCATAGGTGAAAAGGTGTATTCATAAGAAGGGGAAGAGGCTCTTTTTATTACAAACAAATGGGGGCACTTTTCATAAGGAAAAGGGGCACATGTGAAAATTAAAGGTGCGCTTATCCGAGTTAAGAAGGGGTGTAGTTATTAATAGGGGAATGGGCACTTCTTACAAAGTAAAAGGGGGCACTTGTCAAAGTACAAGGGGGAACGCTCAAATTCGAATAGGGCAATATTTGAGAGGCGTAAGGTTGGTTGGATATTCGACATTCGCATTCAAAATTCGTGGGATATATGATATTCGTGATTCAAATAGCCTGACGGCTTTAGCGGGTCAAGCAGCTAGCCCAACGGGTCAAGTACTGGATCCGGGCAACCCCAAAATGTAGTTACCTTGCCCTGGCCCATGGGGTTTAAAGGTACTGTCCCATTTGCAGGGCTAAAAAATGAAAAGATTAAATTCCAATAGCATT